TTGACGCCCTGTAGTTCTTCATCTACGAATTTTGGGTTGAGTTGCATCCTTTCCTTACAAGGGTAGATATTTTCAAAGAATGTGGCATTCCTTGATTCTATCGTAGTTCCCTCAGTCATCCCAAAGATTTCCAATTTGTGAACTATGAAACAATAAGCACTACTGTTTAGTGCGTATCTGATAAATATGCAATCTACCATTTTTGGGCCAATAGCGACTTGCTTTGGAGGCGGAACTTCCACTTTTTCTAGGCACCCCCACACTTTGAAGTATTTGTATGCGGGTTTCTTTTTCTATAGTTCGTAAGGGATGGAATCTTTACCCTTAAGTGGAATCTTGTTTAGGATGTAATTTGCAATCAGTACCGCCTCCCCCCACAGCCTTTGGGGAAGTCCTGAACATATCAACAAGGCATTCATCATTTTCCTAAGTGTTCGATTTTTGCATTCTGCATCGCTGTTCGATTGAGGTGAATATGGAGCCGTTGTCTGATTAATTGTGCCACTTTCATTACATAATTCTTCAAATGGGGCCACATATTCACCACCTCTATCACTTCGAACTATCTTGATTTTACAGTCAAGTTGATTTTCTGCATCGGTTTTTAAGTTCTTGAAGGCCTCGATTGCTTCACTCTTTTCCCTTAATAGGTAAAGATATCAATACTTTGTGCAGTCATCAATAAATATGATGAAATATTTCTTTCCTCCTGTAGTTTGCACAAATTTTAAATCACATACATCGGTGTGAATTAACTCTAATGGCTTAGTCTTCATTTCGATAGACGAGAAGGGTAATTTTGTCATTTTGTCCCCCACACGAACTTCACATTTGTTTTGAGTGTTCACCTCTTTTATATTTAGTAAATTCTTATTTACTAATTTTTTATAGCATTTAGGTTTACATGACCTAATCCACAATGCCATAAATTAGAACATTCGATCAAGTACGAAGAAGAAGCAACATTTTTATTATCAGTAGGTGGTGCTCGGCGCACGACCATTATATTCAATTTGAACAACCCATTTGTAAGATCACCCCTAGCTAGGAACATCTCGTTTTTCGATAATATAAATATATCTGCTACAAAGATAAGTTTAAAACCATGCCTAACTAGCAGCAATCTTAAGACGAGATTTTTCCGAAATTTCAAGGTTAGTTCTTTGTCATAGGTCATCTTCAACACCATGTTCTCTATGCCTTAGACCTCGGAAGTTTCGTGATTTCCCATGTGCAGCTTCCTCCATTTGGTCTCCTTATAGGTCGAGAAGTTTGTTTTGTCGAAGCAAACATGGCAGGTTGCTCCGGTGTCAATATGCTAAGCTTTTAGACTTTCCATATTATTTGTTTCGTACACAATAGCGACAAGGTCATCACTATTGAGATCACGATCAGTCCGGTGGCTCGTCTCGACCAATTGGAAACTCAGCTTCTACTTTTTTGGTGTCTTGCAGTCCTTAACCTGGTGTTCTATTTTACCACAGTTAAAACAGTTACCTGTAAACTTGGACTTTTTGGCTTTGCCCTTTTCCGTTTGACTTGGATGTGCACGTTTTTCGGAGGAATCTCTGACCAAGTTGGCTTTAGAAATATCTCCGCTTTTAGCCTTGTCCTGCTTTCTATTGTCTTTCTCTATCCGAATTCGGACAATCAGATCTTCAAGCCCCGCTTGCTTTAGCTCACGCTTTAACCTGTGCTTGAACTCGGGGGCAATTTCTCGATCATCACACTCGTGATGAACTTTTCTGGTAGTGGTATCTTATCGTCGATAACAGAGTAAACAATGTGCTGAAATTCTTCCACTTGTTCGACAACAAACTTGACATCTACCATCTTATAGTCCATAAACCTGGCCACAACAAACATTTTGGACCCGACATTCTCATACTTACATTTTTTCTCAATGGCACCCCACAACTCTTTCGCACTCTTTATTTTACAATATACATTATAAAGAGAGTTAGAGAGACTATCTAATACAATATTTCTTGTCATATAGTGTCCATGTGCCAAAGATGCATAATTCACATGCGTTTGTGGTCCGCACCGAGCTCTGGGGTAATTGGGCCATCGTGCAACACGAACATGGCAAACCCAATCGCAGTCAGGTAGAAGAGCATCTTCTCCTGCCACCTTTTAAAGTCCACTCCAGTGAATGGTTGTGGAACTTGTACATGGGCATCATCTGTGGGCCAAGCCTAGGACCAACGGTTTGAGCCACGAATGAAGCAGAGGGTGCAGCCACAAACCCAAGAAAACCCCCACATCCCCTTGGAGCAAATCCAGAAAATATAGGGCTACCCATAAAGGGAATTGGCCCAAGTGGAGGAGTGGCTACCTTGACTGCGGCTCCGGCGGTGGCTCCGGCGACGGTTCCGGCGGCGGCTCCTCCGGTAACTTCTCCAGGGGTTGACATTCTCGCAAAGTAGTATCTAATTTTTAATTGTTGGTTTAAATGGGTATTGCGAGAGTAAAATCTACCGTGAAACCGAGTTGATGATGAGTCCTCTTTCCGAAAATTAGATACGCCCCGGTAGTGCCTCCGGTGGCTGGCGTTCTAACCTAAAGATAAAATAGTTTCCGTCTCCAATAAGAGTGGCACCTCCAATCGTTGGAGCTCCGGCAAACAAAGCGAGAGAGGAACTAAGCTGTGGAGGTTTTCGGAAAGCTAGACGAGATGAGAGAAGAAGGAGAGAGTTGTTTGTGTTTAGAATGGAAGGGGGGAGGCCCTTTATATAGGTGTCTTCACTCGGCCAAAATGACAGTGGATCAATTACGATCACAATTACAACCTTAATTACTGATTTAATTTATTCTAAATTCAAACCTTCCGTTTGAAGCAGTTGTACTTGATTCTAATAACAAACTTTCCATTTGTGACGATCGTAATTTATTCTAGTTTTCAAACCTTCCATTTAAAACGATTGTAATTTATTCTGATTTCAAACCTTCTGTTTGAGATTATAATAAATCCATCAATGGATAATATTTTATCCAAATAATACTGCGACTTAGGCCATATCCCGGGTTTAATTTGGGGTTGCACAATTTGGTTTGTCTTGAGACAGACAAAATAGCCAAAATATTAACCAAATCAAATATACAATCTTTATTTATTTATTTCTTCCAAATTAATCTAACCGGCCCGTCACATTTTCACTCACCAAATAATCGGTTGCAAAATAACCGATTATCCAACAACCACAACAGATCGACTATTTGGATCATCACCATCTTCAAATATTGCTTGAATAACTCCGTTCACCACATTTCACAACTAAAAAAACCGAAGAATTTTCTTAAAATGGAAAACCCAACGAGTATCACCAGCTCGAGCTAAGGTCATTTCTTTATTCTGTAAATAATACAAAGTCAAACATTATATATATATTTTTTTTTACATTCAGTGCGGAAACTGTAATATTCGGGTTGTCATATTCTGAAAATTGTGTAAATTCGTTTATATTTCACATTTTACAAAAATATTTTCTCAATATAACACATTAGACAATTCATGAGAAAACAATCTCCTATTGTGTTATGCAAATCAATCTTAATAATCTTCACAACAGAAAATCTTTTGATAATAGCAATTGTGATCATAAGTCGATATATCAGATGGAACTAGCTACCTTGCCCTATATGATAACATCTCCTCGAAGAGAGTTGTGCCCTTACATCCTTAGCATTGACTACTTCCACTCATGTTAGGGATGGTAGGAATTCTTGTTTTGAGAATTCAGGAAATCAAATAATAATTAATTGTTTAGCCTATTCTCAAAACCAAATTATGGTTAATGGGAAATATATGAGATAATATGATTATCCATGTCACATAATTATGTACTAAACCGAGTTACAAATTCGGATCAAGCGTCGGACCGAGTCGGTGAGCTTACGGGTCGGATAGAGAAATCCGGAAAAACTCTATTCATACCAAACGGATAAGTCATACCTTAAAATTGATTTCCATATCCAAATTGAGATCATATCTTATAAGATTTGACTCTTGATATCATATTCTAGTAGATGTGATTCTAGATGTGGGTGATACACCAAGAGAGAATCCTCAAAAGTTTGTTATGCAGAGAGTCTATAAATAGGCATGACCTGACCCTAAAGCCAATATACAAATAAGTCTACATACTCTCATCTGCTTCATCTGCCAATTATCCTACTATCTTCTTATTCGTCAAACTTCTTGCTTGCGGTGATGCTTCGAGAGAATATAAGTCGGTTTATCTTTAGAAGTGATATAGATAGATCAGAGCATTACCAGCCGTATTTCACTTTGTGGGAAGAAGTCTTCGTCGACTGAGATTTTTCAACAAAATATACAAAATAAATCTTTAAAAACAAAGTTTTAGTGATTAAGAAAAGAATAGTTATGTCATTTTAGATACAACAAAAAATATTTAAAGGTATACGATCAAATATATATATATATATATATATTAAAAGGCATATACTAGTTGTTCAAGTCTTCAGTTAGTTTGAGGGGTAATAATAATACTTTTTCGGTCTCATATCTATCTACATGTTTGATTTTTACACGAAGTTTTAGAAATAATAATATTATATTAGAATATAGTAGAAATAAAAATAAAAAAATTAAATTAACCTTATTAGTATTGTATAATATAAAGATAATAATATTTGTGTAATATATTATAAATTATAAAGATATTTGTAATATGAAATAGATAGTACAATTATTAAAAAAAAATAAATATTTTTATATGGCATAGACCAAAAATAAAAAAATAAATACTTTATTAAAATACAGACTAACAGAGTAACTATTATTAGTTTTTATAATAAATAAAAATGATTAATGTATTTTTTAATTTTTTAACTGAAATAAAACGAATAAAAAAGAAAAAGCACAAATTTGAATAGAGGAGGCAGAAAGGAGTATATAAAGTATAGAAGGAAAATATTGATAATATAGTAGGAGTGAGCAGAGGGAACAGTGCAACCTAATTCATTGAATAACACAACAAAATAATTAATCAGCGCCTGACGAAACAACTCCTCCATCTTTGTAAACTCCGCCATCACTCTGCGGACCTCCCGAAGCTCTCTCGTTCTCCACTCACCCCACTATTATAATCATAATATATATCTGCGCTTCCCTTCCCTTCCCCAAATTATTCTCATTTCGCTCGCTCTCCACAATGAACTCTGCCATTTCTCTCTCGCTTTCATCGACGATTTCCTCCCGATCCGCATTCGCCAACCCCGCCGGTAATGCGTCTCTTCCAACGCCTCGCTCGATGCGATTCTGCGGCCTTCGGAGAGAGGCGTTTGATCCGACGCCGTCGTGCTATCTTGCGTCCTTGCGTCCTTCTCGCCCCAATTTGTGTTCGAGGCGCTCGGATTTGAGCACTATCTTCGCCGCGCTGAAAGGCAATGGCTCACCCTCGGCCAGTGGATTCGATTACGATCTCGTAATTATCGGAGCAGGCGTCGGCGGCCATGGCGCTGCGCTTCATGCCGTTGAGAGGGTAATGTTGATCTAATGTTCGGTTTTATTATTTATTATTTTCATTTGAATTCAGCTGCTGCCGTCAAATCTCCTTTAATTTTATTTCACGTTCTTGGGAATTTGTGCTGATAATCTCTCATCGTTTATTCATTTTCCGGTGTGCTTTAAGCTCATTGAGAATGTCTACTACTTTTAGGCATGTCTTACTATAACATTTCTAAGATTACCGTAATTTGGCTTATCACTATCCAAACATTACTCTGAAAATGATGCCTTAACTCTTACGACTGTTTGCTGCTTCCATGTATTGAGCATTGTTGGTCGTCAAACGAGGAGAAATGACTCCTTGAAACTCAAAAAATTTCCTATCTCGTGGCATTTACTAGCTGCAGTATTCACTTTCATATTTTTTTCCTTCTCTTCAGAAACTATAAACAATATGTTCAGGTGTAATGTAAAAGCTATTACTAGTTTGCTTTCTTTATTATTGATAATGACAGCCCAACTCCTGAAATTACAATTTTCTGAAGATGGTGATATGGTGACAATTGTTGACAGATATTTATCTACAATCCAACATCCCGTCATTCAATATTATGATTTAGTAAAAGTCATGATGAAATTTTTTGATTGGTGTCTTTTATAATGATGCATCTGCATTAGGAATACATCTTATAATTGGATATGTTGTTCTGTTTGACATTATGCAGCTATTGAGCTATAATTGCATGTTTATTTGGGTTTTAGGTAATCTTCCAAATATTAAATTCATAAAAATTGCAGGGATTGAAAACTGCAATTGTAGAAGGGGATATCATTGGAGGAACATGTGTGAATAGGGGATGTGTTCCATCTAAAGCGCTTCTGGCTGTCAGTGGACGCATGCGAGAGCTTCAAAATGAACACCATATGAAATCATTTGGTTTGCAGGTATTTTGTTTCTGTGAAATCTGATGCATGCAACTTTTGTTATTGCAAACCCCTGCAATAAGGCAAAGACATGCAGTATTAAATACATTAGTTTTGTGCTGCTTGTGCTGACTAGGTGCATCAAGCATAAAATTAATGTTAAAACAACATTGAACTTACTGTTCAGTTCCAGATTGCCTCATAAACTGAAACGAAAAGGTTGTGGATTTGTTCTTTATCATTTCTATTGGTGAAAGTAGAGTATGAACAATGTTCATTGTGCTGATTGTTTTGTTCTTTTTTATTTTTTTTTTTCCTCCTATGTATTGTGTGCTAAGGGATTCAATAGTTGTGGGTGTATTAATGCGCATATATGCATTATTGATAATGATTTGATGTGAATAGTTATGAACATTGAGTTTTGAATATTATAATGAGAGATTTTGCAGTGTTGTATATTTAGGAGTTTTTGTGTGTCATGGTTGTGGAAAATAGCAAGCAAACATAATTCATGCCATTTGACCCTTTGTGTATTCTACTTATTTTTACTTTTGTTTTGTTTTGTTTTGTTTTTTCAAATTTTATTTATTTTTTATTTTTTGGGAAGAAACTATCATTGAGTCATATTGATCTTCTGTAAAGTAGAATCTAGCATGTCGAGTTTGAAGACGTGGATATCAAGGGGACCTTTGGATAGAAATTATTGACAGTAGACTGGGACTGCAATGAAACTAATTATGATTATGCTTCCAATTTCCTTTCTCTTTGAGCATTTCAATATCTGAGTGATGAGCTACAGAGTAGAGTTAGTTATTAATGTTCAGTTGTATATTCCAGACATATTGAGGAAGATATGTTAAGTTGTTAAACATTATTTGCTATTCTGTAACAAGATTACTATGTTTTCCTTTCTAAATTTTGTTTCCTAATTATTTACCACTAAATGCATTATGCTAGGTTGCTGCTGCTGGATATGACAGACAGGCAGTTGCAGATCATGCAAACAATTTGGCTTCAAAGATTAGGAGCAACTTGACCAATTCATTGAAATCTCTTGGTGTTGATATATTGACAGGTGTCGGTACAATTTTGGTGAGTCTACATATTGAATCCCTGAGAGTCAATTGTCCTTGACTATGGCAATTCCAATGTAACTTCACAACTATTATGTAATTGTAGAGAAACATTTTTGTTGATAGATCTACTGTAAACAGGGTCCACAGAAATTGAAGTTCGGAAAAGGAGATTCTGGAGACAAGATCATAACTGCAAAAGATATAATAATTGCTACTGGGTCTGTTCCATTGGTGCCTAAGGGAATTGAAGTTGATGGTAGAGGCCTGACTGCACATTATTGTTTCATGTTATCTTAACATGTTGCATTCTATTACTAATCTGACTTAATATTTTCGGTATTCAACTTTGATATACTTCATCATCCAATTTCCACCTCCTATAGGTAAGACGGTAATTACCAGCGACCATGCCCTTAAATTGGAATCTGTTCCTCATTGGATTGCCATTGTCGGAAGTGGTTACATTGGTCTGGAATTCAGCGATGTATACACTGCACTTGGAAGTGAGGTGTGAATTTTATTTTTTTTTCCCATCTATCATACTTAAATCCAGACTGTTTCTTTATGTTCCACATTCAAATTTCTTTATGGTTAGAGTAAAAGTTTTATTTCTTCCTTTTCCCATTCACTTTTCTTTTTCCACTTTATTGGGCCGGAAAACCTCATTAAATGAAGATCCACAGTATGGAAATTTGATTCTGCTCATGATTCACATAATTTTTAATAGCTGCCACATATTCGTTATTTGAAAATTTGCCTTATCTGTGAATGATATTTTAATCTAACCATTTAGTGGATAGGAAATGTTCTTTTATCATTACACTTCAAAAACAACATGAACAAAATATTTAAATCTCATCGGTGTTAAACTGAACAGGTTACATTTATCGAGGCTCTAGATCAACTGATGCCAGGATTTGATCCTGAGATTGGAAAATTAGCACAGAGAGTCCTCATCAATCCTCGGAAGATCGATTCTTATACTGGTGTATTTGCTAGCAAGGTGCTTAAATGTTCAAATTACTCTGTGCAACCAAACAATTGTAAATGGGTAAGTAGGTTTTAGTACATTTTTCAATTTAATAAATCTCATGCCATGTACAGATCACTCCGGCAAAGGATGGAAAACCTGTACAGATAGAGCTGATTGATGCTAAGACAAAGGAACACAAAGATACTTTAGAGGTTAGTATTGAGCTCTTTCTTCTGAAATATTCCAATCATCCAATGTCTAAAATGTTGCATCATCCTCTAGCTCATGACATGTGATTTTTAGAAAGTCAGTGTGTACTACTAAAGAGCACACTGCACAGATGTTTGAGTTCTTCTTTGTATAAAATACTCGAGAAAAGTTTGAGAAATTTGACAAAAGTTGGAGCACACATGATGTGCATCCAATGTTCTGCTCTCCGATTCATAGAACTCTCTAACTTCCATATTTTATAGTATTCTCACTTGGAGTAATCAGTGAATTTCATTGAGTCGTGCCAAAAATTAGTGCACTGTTTACCCAATTTAACTTGTTTACTACTCAAATTCTATTGCAGGTTGATGCAGCTCTCATTGCAACTGGAAGGGCTCCATTCACTCAAGGGCTTGGCCTAGAAAATGTTAGTCTGATAAGATCTTCGTGTTGAAGAGCTTCATTTTGCAGTATAATTTGAAAATTGAGAACCAAATAATCCAATTATGTTCAATTTTGTACAGATTAATGTACAGACACAACGTGGATTTGTGCCTGTTGATGAGCACATGAGAGTGATTGATGCAAGTGGGCAGTTGGTGGGTCTTCTGTTTGATTTTGTTTTTTTCATTCCTCGGGGCTTTAATTTGAGTAAATTAATGACCCATGTTGACCCAAAGTTATTATTAGGTTCCTCATTTGTATTGCATTGGAGATGCTAATGGGAAAATGATGCTTGCCCATGCAGCAAGTGCACAGGGCATCTCTGGTAATTAACTTTTATGCGAAATCTCTTATTATCTGTGTTGTTCGTTACTCAACTAGTTGGTGAAATTTTTTGCAGTTGTTGAGCAAGTTTCTGGGAACAACCATATTCTGAATCATTTAAGCATTCCAGCAGCATGTTTTACCCATCCAGAAATTAGCATGGTTGGATTGACGGAGGTATATGCATCCATCTGGAATATTTGGTTTGTGCATTGTTTGCTTAAATTTCTACTTCTATTATTTAAAAAAAAAAAAAAAAAAAGAAAATGCTCGCAACTTTGATAAATTTTGTTATGTTGATTTGATGGTAATGTTTTAATTTTTCCATTCCACTCTTTACTGAAATTTTATGAACATGCAACTGTCATCTTGCTCTTTTTAAGTAAAGCATATGTTTTGTTGTTTGGATAAGTGGAAAAATTAAATAATGGGTAATAAGGAGCATGAATCAGATTAAGGTAGATACTTTGTGATTACTTAATGATGGATTGGTAAGTGATTCATCATGCTTAATTTATGGCGATGCTGTGCAGTTTAAAGTTTTCGAATGTGTATTTACATATGAGTGGTAACAGGTATAACTGCAATTTGACAGTAGACATGTAGGTGTGTTGTTTTGTTCTGAAAATTCTAGGGGAACCCTAAACCCTAAACCCGTCTTATAAGTAAATTAGAATGAAATTGTAGTTTATTTTTAACACTTGAGATTCCTAAGCATGTAGTATAGTTTCCCCCTGCTAAATCTCTTCATTACTTTTTAGCCTCAAGCAAAGGAAAAGGCTGAGAAGGAAGGATTCGAAATAGGCATTGCCAAGACAAGTTTCAAGGCCAATACAAAAGCCCTTGCCGAAAATGAAGGAGAAGGACTTGCTAAGGTGTGTATAATATTAGATTAAGTGAAATACTTAACGGGATTGGTTAACACTGCTCTCTATTCCTTTTCTCAAGATTTCCTAATCAGATCCTTTAGAATGGGAATTTAGGAGTCACGTATCTGATATTTGAGGAAGCATATATTCAGGCTTAAACATCCAATCTATGGCCATCATACAGAACTGATAATTGAACAATAGAACACAAGGGAAGAAACCAGGATGTTTAGAAGTGCTGAAGATCTACAATTTTGTTTACTTACTCTATATTTTCGTGTACAGTTGATATACAGACCCGACAATGGTGAGATCCTTGGAGTTCATATATTTGGAATGCATGCGGCAGATCTCATACATGAAGCCTCTAATGCCATAGCCATGGGAACATGCATACAGGTGACACTTTTCTCTCTCTCCAGCAAATTAAGTATAAATTATGTAGGGAAAGTTTCAGATTCTTATTCTTTTTTTGTTGTGTTCATGTGGGGCACCGTGCAGGACATCAAATTTGCAGTGCATGCGCATCCAACATTGTCTGAAGTGCTAGATGAACTCTTTAAGTCTGCAAAGGTACCCACCCTAACCCAATTATTGGCCTTTTCTAATTCCTAGTGATGAAAATATCAACCACTGTGATAACATATTACATTGGTATTTCACCCATTTCCGTTTCTAAAGTCAATCAACAGCATTCATGCACATTCTTAAGTTTTCTATTTGGTCCTCCGAATGTAGCCAGCCAAATAACAAGATATTCATATTAGACTGCTTGCCGGTCTATTTGGCCTAAGCTAAGGGAGACTCTGAGACTGCAAAGTTTTATATAGATAGTTAAATAGATAGATAGATATAGCTTGATCCCTCATGTACTTGCATGCATATTATATAAACTGCAGGTAAAGATGAAACCATCTTTAGGACCCCCCAAACGGAAGGCCCCTCTCATTTTCCGATGGTTGTTTCACTAAAAACACTACTGCTCTCTCACTCAGCATATTCATATTCTGCAAATTTATTGCCATTTGTATTCTTTTCTCTTCTCTACTCCAATTTCTGTTTTGTGAGAGCACATTACTTACCACTTCCACTGCAGGTTAAAATCAGCACTGGCTCTTCTAATACAGCAGCAGCCCAGCCTGTAGCCGTCTAGTCTAGTCTAGTCTAATTTATGGATTCCATTGATTCTGAAGGCTGCCATGCGAGAGAGAAGAAACACCAGAAGGACAAGGTGACATGCTATTTAAACTTCCCGAACAGAATGCTTGTTTCACTTCTCCATTCATCCATGGATCCGATCTTTATTGCAACAATCATAATCATCCGTGTGTTGTAGTATGTATGCATGCATTTATTTGTCTCAGTTTTGTCAGCAATCAATCAATATGATAACAGCAATAATGATAATAATATACGTATGGCCTGCCCTCTCAACGCTTTGCTTTTTCTTGGCACAATGATGCAACTGGCTTCGCTTGAAGTTGAAGTAGGGGGGGGGGGGGGGGGGGGGGGGGGGGGGGGGGGGGGTTTTATGCTAGAGAACTTAAAACCTTTTCATTTATATTGATTTGGTCAAATATCCCTGCCTGCTCTGAACTCATTCGATATATTAATTAATATATATACATATGCTTCAGATTTCACATTCATGTAAACAGTCTAGTCTAATATGGTATAACAAGTTCATATCTTGCCTATACATTTGAATTAACTACTATATATTGATTTATACGGAACCTCCAAATTAGTTGTAGACTTTTGTAGTTGCCTGCTTGTTCAAATATGAATGAATGACTGACTATCCAACTGGCACATTGGGAAGTATTTTAAAAAAATATTTATTTTTAAAAAAATATTTATTTTTATTTTTATTGGCTTCTCGTCAAAAAAGCAGGATGTAACTTTTAGGTTTCAAAAGTGTTTTTTAAGAAGCACATCAGAGGATACTTCTATAAAAATAAAAGCAATTTTACTATCTAAATTACAATTTTACTAATAATAATAATAATAACTAATTAAATAAATAAGATAAAATAAGAATAAAAATAATTAATTTATATAAAATTTAAATGTAATTTTCTTTTAATTATTATATATACTCCCTCAATTCCAAAAAAATATTCATTTGCTTTTTGAACGTAGTTTTAGAAATATTAGTATTATATTAGAATATAATAGAAATAAAATAGAAATGACTAAAATAACTTTGTTAGTACGTGTGATGCAAAGGTAACGGGGGTATTTGTAATGTTAGGTAAACAGTATAGTTATAAAAAAGGAAATGGATACTTTGTTATGAAACGGACTAAAATGAAAAAAGGGAGTATTATTTATTTTAATATAAGTAATGGGCATTTGAGCAATTAATTAGTGGGAACACGCAGCTGCTTTCCGAAAGTGTAAACCTCCGATCAGACTTAATACTCTGCAAACTAGACCTGACAGACAGACGTCAGTAGTTTGAAATCATGGCCTTACGTTCATAAGTTAACTGCACACCGCTAGGTCATCCTCACTGGATTATTATTATTTTTTCTTTAGATTGTTGCATTTATAAATTTTTTTTCTTGTTTTTTTTTTTTTTTATCCATTTTTAGTGGTATAACTTTGATAGTTTCCATTTTGTTCTTATGTATATGCGATAGTAAAAGTATTGATATAACACAAATTAGAAAGAATGTCCAGCATGATGGCAGGTTGGTGCGGGATAAAATATATTTTGGGCAAAATTGCCATAATTTCTTTGTGGTTTCGAAACTCAGCGTAAATTCCTCCTTTATTTTAAAAATTGTGTGACGTCCTCTTATACTTTAAAAAATATTGTATGAAATCACTTTGTAGTTTCGAAACTCAGCATAAATCCCCATTTTACTTTACAAAATTGTATGACGCTCACTTATACTTTAAAAAATATTGCATAAAACCCCCTGCCATGCAAAACATATAGATAGGAAATCATCTTCTTATTGCATGAGGAAAGTTCCATGGTGGTGGGTTTCATGGAACGTTTTTTAAAGTATAAGGGGTATCATGCAATTTTTAAAGTACAGGGAGATTTTACGCTGAATTTTGAAACCACAGGGGAGTTATAAGCAATTTTACCTATATTTTGTTGAATCTAGTTTGGAGATTATTAAGTTCAATCAAAATTTACTAAGAGCTCACTTGAAAAATAGCGGTGTTGAGAGTTTTTACCTCATAAAAAAATATATATAATAAATAAATTAGGTAAAGGTAGTTTTAGAAATTTTGAGGAAAAATTGACAGGTAGTACAAGGCATTGTGGTAAAATAAACGTGTAGTAGTCAATTTAATTTGGTTTGAATTTGTCTGAGAGTTAAGCAAACTGAACTCAAATTAAATTAATTTATTAACTCAAAATAGGTTTGAATTTGGGGGGTTAACCTTTTGTCAAAGGTTATTATTATTATACAAAAATATACTCATTTCAGGTATTTTTTTTCTTCATTAAATAATTTTATTTACTCATAATTTTAATAATCAATTTGTCACGGTTCTTTTTAATTTACACAATTCTTTTTTATTGAATTTTAATACTCTTTTAATAATATCGTATTGTTGATGTCGATTTTCAACAATAAAAAACAAAATCCGAAAATAGAGATTATCTTCGAATTTGATAAAATAAAATGTCTGAGATTTAAGACATCATACGATACATAAATAAAATAGAAAAAAAATAAATACTAAAGACTGTAAAAGTAAAATGGTGATCTCAAAAGAAATTTCACTGAATTTGATGTTGATTGAAGATCCTTTCCCAGAATAGACCCAAATCTTTAAATATTCCCTAAAGAAACGTTTTGAACCGTCGTCTGGTCGGTTACAGCAACCGCCATCAACCGCCCACTAATTCCTCCTTCATTGACACGTGTCTTAACCATCTCGCTAACTGCTCTTGTCAATTACAGGACTTAACTGGCTCAACCGACCGCCTCTGAACACCTTACCTCCTTAAATGGGCGGCTGGCCCATCCGACTACTCAGTCGCCCACGATAACCCCTGGCTCCTTAGACGGACCGCAGGCCAACCGACTCCCTTGAGAAACCCCTTAATCAACTGGTGGGCCTAACGACGGGCCCACATCTCCTCCTATTTTGGGCCTTTTACCCTAATTATAAATTTCGTACGTAACTTCCCTTAACCGTCTTAGAATTGCTTTTCATCCGACCGGCACACCTGCTGTTACGTCTCCTCTTGTCCGCCTTCCACTTGTCCGACCTCTCTGTCTGCCATCTCATCTTTCTTCGCCTGACCACCTTTTGACCGACCTCCGTATCGACCGTCTCATCTTTCTTCCCCCGACTTTCTTTTGTCCGACCTCCGTGTCTGCCATCTTATCTTTCTTCCCCCGACTTCCTTTTGTCCGACCTCCGTATCGGTCGTCTCATCTTTCTTCGTCCGACTTCCTTTTGCCCGACTTCCGTATCAACCCTCATCTTTCTTCGCCCGTCTTCCTTTTGTCCGACCTCTGTATTCACCGATATCCTAATCACAGGTTTCTCCCAAAAAAACTTATTTCTTAATAACACTTGGACCGTTTGGCTTATTAACAGGCCCATTGAACTATACATCAGTCCACAACCCTAGGCCCATTCTCGAAAACCCTGCACATTGGTTTTTTCTTACTCAACAACTTGCCTCCTCCCGCCCGACTCCTAAGCGTCACTTCTCGTGACATTTAGGAGTTTGCAGTACAGTGCTATCATTACACTGTTTCATATCATATCGTGGGGTTTATGTAAAACCCTTCTCTCACCCTTCCATATTTATGCACTCAAAATCTTGAAATTCTCCTTTTTATACGACAACCCCGGGTCTTCATCGGTTGTCCCTCAACCGACCTCCATCATCCGAGGCCACGTCAGCCTCAGATCCGACCTCCATCATCCGAGGCCACATCAGCCTCTGATCCGACCTCCATTTATCGCGGACTGGCGGTGGCCTGCGCGTTGGTCGATCTCGCACTACCATTTTGTCCTTTAAATCCACTTCGAATGAGCCATCTTTTCTGTCCCACTTCTCAGCCACCCTATTTTCGTAGATTGTGAACTTATCATCCTGGTCAAGCTCTTGTTCCTTTGGCTTGCACTCCTTCCGTTTGTCGTCTCCTTCATCATTCTTTTTGTGGGCTCTGTGAAGAACGCACAGACTTCACTGCTGCAGTAGTTACTTTTGGAAAAGGTTGTTGTTCTACGTCCAGAGTAATATATTTGAATCATCCTGCCTTGATGGCCTTTTGAATCTCCTTTCGGAATTGTGTGCATTGGCTTGTATTGTGTGTAAAGGAATTATGCCACTTATAATATGGTCTTCCTTTGATTTCTTCTTTAGTGGCCAATCTTTGCCCTTTTGGAATTCGGATCTGTCCATCTTCTGTCAGTAGAATATCAAAGATATCGTCAGCTTTCGAACTGTCAAATATGGGTTGGTCTCTTCCTTCAGTTCCTGGTAATGACTTTAATTTGGAGCACACATAAGGCTTTCCAGAGATGATTCCGGCTGCCATTTCTTCTGTTTGATCAAAATCAGGGCTATATGTTTCCGTTTCCATACTAGTCATTTGTTGAACTTTATTATGCCTGAAATTTTGATCTTTTTCTCTGAAAAAAGACTCTAAACGTCCAGCCTTGGATGCAAGACTTGCCAGATCTTCTACATCATGTGCAGTGAATGCCTCTCTCAAGCGAACATGCATATTGCGGATCACTAAATTGGTCATCTCTTTTTCATTGATTATTGTAAGACATCGTCCTTTCATCAATCGTACCCTTTTGATGAACTGCGAGGCTGACTCTTTTGGACATTGTTTCATTTCCAACAAATCGGTAAGAGAAACGGTTGGTAAAGAGTTGAAGAATCTAGCATGAAATGCCATCTCTAAACCTTCTCAGGTTTGTATTTGTCCAAGTGGTAAATTCACAAACCACGAAAAAGTTGTCCTGGTAAGAGACAAACCAAATAGTTGTAGTTTATAAAAAGGGTTATTACCGACTTCTCCTAATTGTGCTGTAAATCGACCCACATGTTCTATGGTGGAGGATCCATCTTCTCCTGAGAAAGCATGAAAGTCGGGTTGTCGATAATTCCTTGGGAGCGGATAATCGTTAATGATCCTTTCTGGAAAAGGTCTTTGATAGGCAGGGCGGTTGGCCGCATAAGGATTCAAACCAAAATGAACCCTCAAAACATGCGCAATTTCTTCAGGATCCAAACGAGGGTGTTGATGATCAGGGATATGTATGGGATCATGCATATGTCCTCCTTGTCTGTCCTCCCTTACGATATTCGGCTGAGTATTATCAACTCTTGGTCCCAAAGGAATATTATTTGGGAAAGTTACAGGAGCCTTTCCCCTATCTGTTCGGTTAAGAGTTGTGGCGCTAGGTACTGTACTATCAACATATGACGG